ATCTATCTATCTATCTATCTATCTATCTATCTATCTATCTATCTATCCTATCAATTTTAAATTGAATCAACTGATACAGTCACCGATCTCACTATTGTGATTCTAGGCAGTTAACAAAGATTTAAAAATGCAATGTAATTCTAATATAAAGATACATGTCATCTATGCATAAAAACACATACATGAAGAAGTACAATGAACAATGTGCCATTTGTGCAGTGAACATAGGAAGGGGTCTTTTATATATTGAGTGAGACCAATAACTCCTCTTCCCCAAATCCTCTCATCCAGGATCATCTTTTAAGTGGAAAAGATAAACCCCGAATTTGGAGCCTTCTTCCCACAGGCTTCACTGGTTCAATCTTCAGCACCACTGACCACGCACGTCTTAAATGGAATCCCTGCTCCAAAAAGCAAAGCAGCAAACAAATAAGTTCTTTACCCAGCAATGTTCTGAATGGAAACACTCTTTGAAAGGGAGAGGTTCTGCTGGGATCGCCTACTATTGAACACTGCCGTCGTTATGTTCTCATCAGGGGCAAGAATTGCCGATCTGGGTCGCTCTTTTGGCTGAGAACCTACAAGGAAAACACCAGCAGAGACAGCAAGAGGTTTAGTGAGAGATCAGGCTCAATTCAGTATTCAGAATATCAACATCAAAGCTGATGCCATCCAGACATTGTTGGATGAGATGATTGGACAGAAAATTGGATACAAACTGGAACTTTTCCTATTAGGAATCACGAAAGAGAAATATAGTAAAGAGGTGGATCTATTTAATAGTACATATTATGATGGCAGCACAAATGGTTCTTGCTCAACAATAGAAAAATAGAGAAATCCCCGAAGAAGGTGAGGTGATAAAGAAAATACTGACTTGTGCTAAAATGGATAGATTGACTTTGGAATTGAAAAATAAATTACAAGATATGGAATAAATTTTATCAACGGTGGGAGCAGAAAGGATGGACCCAAAATAAAAAATAATTAGGATTTGTAGAATGGATAATTGAAGTTATGTAAATAATTATAATGGAATACGATGGATAATACAATGGATATAAGTTAACTGTATAAATGTATACAAGATATGTATCATATACTTTAGTATGTATGGCAAAAATTATGCCAGTACGACCACACCATGTCCAATATTTTATTGGATATAATCAATAAAATATATTTTTAAAAGCTGACGCCAACCAGAGCATAGCACAACTCCAAGAAGTAGTGCAAAATTGGAAGTCTACAAAAATCACTAAAAGTCAGACACAACTGAATGGATAACACCTTTATCATCCTCCTTGCTTGGAGTTCGTTTGAAAAATCCTTTTGAAAAGTGAGGATTTGTTTTCTAAATTAACAAGCACGCTCTTTTCTCCAGGTGTTTTGTAACGCGTGAATTTAACAGAACACGAGTATAAAAACTAGCTGGATACGCAACCCAATGGCAAGCTTTGGGAAACTTGTGCCAAGAAGGGAGGGGCAGGGGGGAGAGAGATACTCACTCTTATTTCTCATAATTACTGTGGGCAATGAAGAAGTGTCGTGAGGCTGAAGACCGCTTGGGTTTTTCTGGAGCTGAAGTAGAAAAGATTAGGAAAAAAAAATGATATAATATGAATTCCGCTCACACGTCATGCTAAGCTAAGGTTTCAGAGGGGTTTGGCTGAGTTTATGTAACAAATTAAGACATCAATCATGGTTTATGAATCACAGTGACTGTTTCATGCCACAAACATCAAGATAAAGTCCATCAGACTCATGAATGAGAATTCAAAATGTGCATTATTATTTTTTTATCTCAATCTCACTTAGAAGAAAAATCCTTCAAAATGTTTGAGGGGTCAAAGAACTGAAACTCTCACACAATGATACAATTGCCACATAGATAGGAATTTTTTTTAAGTGGCCTAAAACTGAAAACTTTCCTTGCATTTAAAAAAAATTATATTTCTGCTATCTAAAAGTTTCTAGCCTTCAAAATACTAGAAATTTCTGGATGTTGTTAAATGATCTCCTAAGTGGACTCAAAAAAACTACAGTTCTTCAAGAATGTTTCCTTCTATAGATAGAATAGAACATCAGATCTACCGATACTAGCATTTACATAGACAGGCCTCAGCAAATCTGGCTTATGACAGATTTATTGCAAATAAATTACTGTAGCAGAGGAAGAATTCAAGTTGGACAGTTCCGGTAATTGATTGCAACAGAATGAACTAGTGAAGAGCCCACAGGCACAAATGAAATAAATGAACATAAATTTACCGTATCTTCCTTCTCCTGCTTGTGCTATAATCACAATGAACCACACAGCAGTTATGAAGTGGATTTGAATAGAATGATATCACAAATAAAATAGCAATAATAGGATTATTATTGCATCTCGAGATGGAATAAGATACAGGATTCCTGACACTAACCTTGATCTATTGGAAGTCCTAGCCACAGTGAAACAGTAGTTTGCTTGCATTTTTTTCCCTGCAACCAAGAAGGCTAGACATTTATTTTAAAGAAAACAATAACAAACTGAAGATATTTCAGAGCCCTAATGAGCCTGCATATATGAAAATTGGATGGTTTTTTTCTCCTTCCCAAGTTACAACCGTACATTTTCAGATATATACATATATCCACACAGGTGAATATATTGACGGGAAAAAAATCCAGAAGAATACTTACTTTCATTTTGACCTTGGCACAACTAGCCACATTCTCTTTGCAGCTTTTATGGACAATGGCACTACAATCTGGGGAAAACAAAGAGGACATCTTTAATGTGTAGCCAACGAGAAAGTCAGCCGTCATACAGGGTTCATATACCCATTCATTGCATCTCATCATTCATAACTGCAACTTCCCCAAATGGAAATAACGATGAAGATAGATACTTTTTCCTAGACTTACTTTGAGCTCCCTTAAATTTTTCTTTGCAATCTTTAAAACTTAAAAAAAAAGAATCCACAGCATGAGCCAAGTCCTATAAATTCTTGATCAGATTTCCATCGATACTTTCTTTATAACAGGCAGTGGTCAGCTCTTGCATCCAGAATAAAAAAGAGATAGCTGAAAAGCTTATTTAAAAGTCATAAGAGTGAGCAACCTTCCCTCTTCTCCCCAAAATATGCATTTGGAAATATGCATTTGGAAATATCCATAGTTGGGAGATCATTCTAATCTCCTAAAGGAAGTTGTTCCCCAAAGCAGGGGCCACTGTGGAAAAAAAACTATCTTCTAGTCCTTGCCAGCCAATACTCTTTGGCTGATGGGATTTGTAATTTCTAATCCTAGCCATCCTCTTCAACTGCATTTGCAAGCTTAGCCCCAATTAGTCAGCAAGCATCTCAAGCACCATTTCAACTTGTAAGATTGCAATACTGTCCAATGCCATCGAGGGGGTACCCCTGTCAAGAGGAAAGCAAATTGCTCTGGACTCTTCCTATAGTTGTGTGGTTGGGCAATAAGAAAACATGTGATAGGATGACCTTTAATGCTCACTCTTATTTTTGCCTTAGTCAATACTAGTGAACTGGCAAGTTCAGGTTCCCAAAACAGGAATTTCTCCTTGAAGGTAACATGATTCCGTTTCAGTTTTCTAAACCTGAAGTGGCACATATGGAGGGGAAATGCTTCATTGAGTCATTACCAATTATCCAGAAACACAAATCACATTTAATGCATAACACTGCTTAAACAGAATATACAGAGAGATTGTTTCAGAATTCAACTGATAAATTCTGTTAATAACCAGGAAAGGTCAAAATTCTTTAACAGGATTGTACAAGGAACTTCCACCATCTTTTCTGCATACGCTGATTTGGCCCAGAAGTCACTACTGGCAGTAACAATAGTAATGTCAAGTGTATTTTACTAGAACATGAATGGAATATGAAAACATTTTGGGCATATTTTTCACTTTTCAGTTGGTCAATTCAAATTGGTCAGCCATTGTTCCAGATTCTCCTACCATTGTCATCTCTCCTGGCATCAAAAGGGCAAGCAACGATGGTAATTTTATGCACATAATTATTTTCAGAAATGTATTCTATTTCCTATTCATTCCAGTGCACAAAGCGGGGGGTGGGGAAATTACTCACTTGCACAGACGAATGAATCTTTGTTGAAGGGCTTGAGACAGTGGTAGCAACTGACGGGACCCACAGTTGAGATGACACTGAAGAGATGTCCATTTAGTATCTTGTTGTCTTTGTCTTTTTCCTTGGAGTCTTTATCACGTTCCTTCAGTTTCTCTTTCTCTTTCTCCTAAAAAAAAGAAGTGCATGGAGGACATTCATAACATAAAATAAAGTGTGTGTGTGTGTAAAAATGATGTTCTTTCATGTGCAAGGTAGCATGTATCATCAAGAAATGAGCTCCATATGCCAAAGATGCAAGCAGTTGTCCTTCAATTTAATGTTCAGCAAGTCAACTGTGAGTCATTGGCTGCAGACACCCCGGGGCAACGCTCACATTGCTTTGAATCAGTCCTCATCACCTAGGCTATCAATATGTAGGAACATAATAAACTATCTTATCCTGAGTCAGAACTGTAGCTCGGAATTATGTGGCAGCAGACATCCAGGGTTTCAGGCAAGAATTTTTCCTACCCTTGAGAAACCACCTGCGAGTTCACACCATGAGTTCTATCACCAGATTTTATGAACTTCTAGAAGAGATTGTTCTACTTTGATGTGAGAACTGAGCTCTACAGGAAGGTGGGTTCTGTAAATGCAAAACTTTGCGGTTAGTGCCGGGAAGAAGGAAGCCTATTTTGATTTTGCTCCTGCATACTCTTAAAACTATAGCATCCAAGACAAGATAGCTCCCTCTATTCTTCTAAATTACTCTTTCAATCAAGAAAGTTAAAAATCTAACATTAAAACCAATGTACTGCAAAGGAAGTTTCCTATAAAGAGTGAAGGTATGCAGTGGCTCAGTGGCTAAGATGCTGAGCTTGTTGATCAGAAAGGTTGGCAGTTCGGCGGTTCAAATCCCTAGCACCATGTAACAGAGTGAGCTCCCATTACTTGTCCCAGCTTCTGCCAACAAGTTCGAAAGCATGTAAAAAAAAATGCAAGTAGAAAAATAGGGACCACTTTGGTGGGAAGGGAACAGCGTTCCATGCCCCCTTTGGCATTTAGTCATGCTGGCCACAAGACCACGGAGATGTCTTCGGACAGCGCTGGTTCTTTGGCTTTGTAACGGAGATGAGCACCGCCCCCTAGAGTCAGAAACAACTAGCACGTATATGCGAGGGGAATCCTTACCATAATGTAATAATATTATCCACAGACAGAGGAAGGTGGAACTTCAAGAAAAACATCAGCCTACTTGGAATGAGTTAAAATGCTGTTTGGAGATGCTACACTGTATATCAGTAGCACTGATTTCATTGTTGTAAAGTTAGATTTTTTTTTCCCCAGTAAAAGCAAAAAAAATTGGACCTCCCTAAAATTGCCAAGGTCAAGGAGGAATTCTGGTTGTTGTTGCTGGTAAAGTGATTCAAAATAAGTAGTTCATGGCAACTATGAATTATGCAACACCCCCTTACAAATAATATTCATTACAGGAGCATACACGTAAACATTAAATTGGAAAAACAGTATTTCAGGGCAAGAAGCTTGCCCTGAAATACCTCCAAGAAGATTTCATGTCCAGATAGGTGGGGATTGCAACTTTAAAAATTCCCCTGTAGCTCAGCTACAGATCAGGTTGGCAGGTAAGGCCTAGGAATTGCAATCCGCAGACAATGAAGAGATTAAGATCAGCTTAAAGATGGCTGAAGGAGGGGCAAGAATCCTCCCTTCAATCCATCTCAGTCTGTGTTTTCCAAGTCATGATCTGGAAACTCCTAGATTTTCTTCAGCAGGTTCAAAATAATACTTGAATCTTCCAACTTTGGACCAATGGAAGGGCTGAGGTCCATCTCCTTATTATGCTCACTCTATTATTTTTATGGTCAAATTAGCACTTCAAAAAAGGAACTGACCTCAGGACCACACTTTGTTTAGGATCCCACTCCTATTTGCATGGGGATTACAAAAATGATCAGTTGCAGCCATAGCAATAGCACTTTTACAGCCCTCTCTAAGTGCTTTACAGAGTCAGCCTATTGCCCCCAACAATCTGGATTCCCATTTTGCCCACCTCGGAAGGATGGAAGGCTGAGTCAACCTTGAGCTTGGTGAGATTCAGACTGCCAAACTGCAGGCAGCCAGCAGCCAGCAGAAGTAGCCGGCAGTACTGCACTCTAACCACCGCACCACCACAGCTCAGTCACCTTCATAAACAACTGCTGGCCCTTCTATAACAATCACCAACACCCTGTATTTTTGAGGAGTGGGGGTCTCTTTCAATCAGTGTTGACTCCCTTGATTTCAGAAGTGATTTGTCCTAGCTCACTTCTTCCTAGGACTGACCTTGGATGAGTATCCCCCCCCACCCCAAAAAAAAGATGAGACTAAAACTCCCGTTTCTAGACTGTTGCCTTCACCCCCTAAAGCCTGCCTATCTATCTATCTATCTATCTATCTATCTATCTATCTATCTATCTA